TATATATATATATATATATATATATATATATATATATATATATATATCAGGGCTGGACCATATTAAAAAAAAAATTGAAATCACTGTCAAATAAACACAAAACTCTCAACCTTGTCAATATTAATAGGTTTAACTTTAAACAACATTTCTTTTTTGATACAGCTGGGGGGTGTTGTTTCAGGGACACACTGGCTCAAACTTTTATTGTGCTTCATCTTCTGACTCTATCGAGTGGAACAACTTAGATGTGTTCCCACCGCTAGTTGGAACGACTCTCTATTACATTTTGCAGCACACTGAAACCTGCAGTTTATCGGATCTTAGATAGCCGAACCACGTCCACGCCGCCGAATTACTCTTTCCTCTCTTATCAATTATGTCATCTGCTTTCTCTTCGCTTGTGAAAGCTTGTTCAGTCACATTCTGACGGTCATGGGTACTCATTTTGAAGCAAAAACTTAACGTGTGTTGGAGATTAGCCTAACCTGCTACCGCTAACTCCTTCTGGACTTGAGCTCTGTGTAACATCTACGTCACCAGGCACTTACGTAGTTGTGTCGCACCTTTTTCTGTCCAGGTTGAAACAGAAGTTCAACTCGAACAGAAAAAGAAATGTGTCCGTGAAACGCTGTAATCATATTGAGATATTGAAAATGTGCTTAAAACTCATATCACCGTTATTGAATTAAAGTATATTGTGACATATATCGATATTGAATTCTTGTCCAGCTCTAATATATATATATATATATATATATATATATATATATATATATATATAGTATGTATATACAGTATATATATATTTATTTTTTTCATAACAAGTACCACAGAAATATGCCATTAGTCATCATGTTTCCATAAAAAAAGATATGCACTTTGTACTGTTTCTTAAATTTAAAGAAAAATTATTATTATTATTTTTTTTTGGCATTTGTCAAGTTCATCAGGCACTGTGAGTTGCGATGAAGACAGCACATTTTATGAAAACTATCTGCTTGGCTCGATGTCAAAAATTGTGAAGCAACAGAATTTTTGTGATGCTAATTTTGAGATCAGGACCATGAGGATCACAGATCTCTTGTAAATGAGTCCTCGTGACTCAATAAAACTAACCTGTGTAAATAACGGTTGAATGAATGAGAGAATCCGTCTTTCCAAATTCAGATGTATGACTTGGGGGCAATCGTAAATTGTGTTGGACCACTCCATATAGCTCTTACTAGGGAGCTAATAGGACTGTTTACTGTGATCAAGGACTTCTACAGATGTCAGCAACTATATCTGAGCTGATTCCTTATTGAAAGAAAACTTGGGTCATGTGTTCAGTGTAAGACATTTTATCTCCATCAATGGTGTACAACAAGATACCCACATGGATGTTAGCTGGTACAAGAAAGTATATACATGTCATCAGCAAAACAATGAATGTATATGTTATGAAAAAGAAGATCATCAGAGGTTGAACAACTGGGAGATAATCTTAGAGAGGCCAGACTTGCATGGTTTGGACATGTTCAGAGCAGGGAGAGTGGGTATATTGGTAAAAGGATGTTAGAAATGCAGCTGCTGGAAAAAAGACAAAGAGGAGGTATATGGATGCAGCTAGCAAGGACATGGAGGTAGTTGGAGTGAGGACAGAGGATGCAAAGGACAGAGATGGAGGAGGATGACTCGCGGTGATGACCCCTGAAAAGAGAAAAGCTGAAAGAAGAAGACATGCTTCATGAAAATGCACCTAAAGAAAGCATATTTATTAAAAATGGAATGGGAACTCAAATAGAGCCTTGAGGTACACCACAACTAAGTGGGAACATGGAAAATTTCCCTAAATCTCCCATTGGATAAGCACCACTGGAGCACTTTAAGGGTTGGACTTTTAAAGTGTTTTGAGCACAGAAACACAGGGAAGGGGCACACTGTTTATGGTGTCAAAGGCTCCAGGCTGATCTACAGTACAGTACCAGGACAGCAGAATCACCAGAGTCAACAGTTAACACAAGCCATCTTGCACTCTTTAAACATCTGCTTTAGTGCTGTGGTGTTATCTGTAACCAAATGACATCATATTTTGCAGGATTAATCATCTACAGCCTAAAACTTGTTCGCTACAAAAGGCACACGCTCACGGCAACAGATCCGGTTTTAAATCTGTGCTTTCGTTCCACCAAAACAAACGGAACTATTTCAGTTTGCATCCTAGACATGTTTGTGTGACTCGCTCGTTACGAGCGGATAAAGGACTCTGTGAAAAGTTTTTGAAACTTCTTGATCTGGTGAGCTCCGTCAACATCCAGTGTGCCTGCAGTGAGCCGGACCTCACAGACTGGCAGACGCATTTATGGTTTAAATATCAGTAGAGATGAGGCTCAAACATCCAGGCTCCTCTAATATAAACAAGCTCAATTGTAGCAGCATGCATGCCTGTTCATATTAAGGTAAAAGAATGAGCGTTAAGCCCACACACACTGTGCATTTTACTAACAGCAGTTTATTTGAAAGACCATAAAAGTTTAATAATCAGACTCCGACAGTGCCGGTTTCTCTCCTGCAACTTGAAGATTAACTTCTCATGCACTCACCGAACCTCTTGTATCCAAAAGACTGTACTTCCTCCTCGTCTCCAAAGTCGTCTGTAAGACAAAATCAGAAGCATAAATGATTATTATACGCACGTATGTCACATGAAATGCAATGGTGGGTGTCAATAAGTCAAATTAACTACACGGATTTAGACCTGAGGAGGTAAAGTTTCGACTCCCGTCTTTGTGTTTGTGTGTGGAGATCGGTGGTCCCAGGAATGCATCTAGCTGCGGTTCCTCTAGTTTGTTGACAGTAAACCTTAATTACACTCTGCTGCCATGCACTACAGTGAAAAGTGGAGCAAAAGCATAGAGAGCATCTCCGTTAATGACAGACAGATGGGGCTGAGGGGAGGAAGACATGGGAGATGGAGAGGGATGAGTGTGTGTTTATTGTTGGGAGGTCAGGGAGGGTTAGATGAGAAGAAGAGTGTAGAGCGGATCGCACATTCCTGACCGTTACTTAACCGCAGTGTCTCTCAGAGGAAAAAAAAAAATCAAGCATTCTTTGTAACATAACTATTTAGTACATTCCCTTATAGTGGCTTCTTGTCAGAGTTAGAGCTCTAAAATTGTTGCAATTGCAAAATTTCCATCTTTACTACGATGTTTACTTCTGTTTACACGATGTTAATTAAACAGATATACACTCAAGATAACAACAATAAGGAACAGGTTGGCTTGTCTTGAAGAGAAATGTGTTGCATGACATAATAGGATTACCTTAACATTTTTACAACAGTAACACTTGGAATTAATTGTACACTACTTAATGAATGAAGCAACATGCAGTATTGTTCATCAGGTTTAATAGTAAAAAGTCTTGTGTCAGATTGGTTTTCATCCATGCAGCAGCAACGGTTTGGATTTTTTGTGGCATTCTGTGGGACGGTTATAAGCAGTTAATATCTTACCTGTTGCAGATAGCGCCTTGAACCTCAGTTTGGAGAAGCATGGTTTAACTTTGACCATATTGATGAGCTAATGACTAGTCAGAGCAGGGCTAAAATTTCAGTCAGATTCAAATTTATATTTTCCCCAACTGAGGTCGTTGATTATCCATGCTGCTGATCTCATTCTGATTATTTCACGCTGCTGTATTCATTCATTCATACTCATCCACCCACAAAGACTCGTGCTCGTGCTGCTGTTGCTCCACGTATTGTATTTGCACAATTAGCGTTTAGCGTACATCTTAGTTTATATCTTAGATCCTTATTTACTGTTTCTTGTTACGCTTTATATTTTTGCTTTTGCTGGGTGTAACTGGGACCCTGTGTACACAATTTCATTCCACCTCATGTACCACATGTTAATGACAATCAAGAACCTTGAACCTTGAAAGAATTATCTACAACAGGTGAGATGTTAATAGTTCACAAACTTTCCACTTTGAAATGTCTAAAGTTACTTTAAGATAAGTCTTGCCCAGAAAATTAGATTCAACAACCCATTTAAACTGAATCACATCAAGCTGTCATAAAGTAACTGAACTAAAAGAATGTTTCGCCCATTTATATTAAAATGCAATATAGCTTTATCTTAAAATAAACCCTTATAATTGTTGTAAATGTCACTGTGTACGCTCAAGAGTAGAGAGTTCTATGATGAATTTGTGTTTTGAGGGTTTGGTTGGATGCAGTGACAAACCACTCACTCACTCACATCATGCCCTGCAGAACTGAACTGTCATCTAAACGTGACTCGCCAAAGTTTGATAAGAACATGAACTTAATCAATATGCACCTGATCATGTTTGACTTAAAGCAGCCCACAGCTCATACCTTTCATGGCGTTTTATAACTTGTTGACTGCAGCAGCGATGACGATCCCGGTCACTTTCTGCGCATCTCCGCAGCATCCAGAGCAAAAGAAGTAAACTTCCCCCTCAGAGACAACTCCTTCTGCTTTCAGCTGCTGTAATTTATGGCTCTGTGTTCATGCCTCTCCTCTGTTTAGAAGCCCATGGTCTCAGTTCTCCTGCAGATCTGAGGAGGATTCAGTTCTGTGATGATCCCAGAGACTCCCCTCGCAGCCGTGCCTCGGTGGTGCCACCATAGTGAAGTCACCCAAAACCAGATCTTACTTTTCCGGTATTGGCTTTCAAAATAAAACGCGTGTTTTATATTTTTGATTTTTTATTATTATTATATTATTATTTAGATGTTTTGGTTTTGCTAGTCAAAAGTCTATTTTTCTGATACTGTAAGATCAAGATCGGTTATTGTGATTACCGGACATGAAACATAAACACATAAGGGTGGATTTGGACATAATTTGATACACTGACCAGCAATAGTTACAGGTATGTACAGTATGTTCTATGATTTGTAAGAAGCTGCCAGGTCTAATGCCTCACCCTCTCTAATTATGGAGGGCAGCATCACAAGTAAACCTACAGTGTTATCAGGCAGTTGCTGGAATGTTCAAATGTCATCCTGAAAAATTAACTAAGGTAAAGGCCAGAAGTAGGGTACTGCAGGGTACTACACTGATTTATGTCTGATGATAGGAAATATATACAAAAATTAATTTAAATATAATATGCTATTGAGGTTTTTTTTTTTAAATTTAGTAGGCTATATAAACCACCACTGTCATATGTCGGTGTGCAAAATTTTAGAAACACTTAAAAGCAGCAAAAAGTGGACAGATTAGTAAAAGGCCATGATAGCTCCATCTCCATTTTCTCCTGCTTATATGTTCATTCAACCTTTATTTAAGCAGGTTAGTCCCACTGAGCCACGAGGATATGTAGTTGGGTCATGGAGGCAACAGGTCCAGGAGAGAGACCCCAGACCTTCAAGGTCAAGGTCAAGGTCAAGGTCATGGTGTCTTTATTGTCATTCACATCACATGTGGTGGAACAAAACTATGTACACAGGGTCCCAGTTACATCCAACAAAAATACAAATTGTAAGAATATACTAAGCACTAATTGTACATTCCTCTCCCCAGAGACACTTTCCAACTCATGAGGAACCCTGAGGCTTTCTCTGGCCAGAGAAGATATACAATCCCTCCAGTGATTCTGGACCTTCCCCGGGGCTTCCTACCAGTGGGACATGCCTGGAAAACCTCTAAAGGGAGGCCTCCTAATCAAATTCCAGAACCACCTCAACTGGCTCCTTTCTATGTGGAGAAGCAGCTGCTCTACTTCAAGCCCCCCCTCCCCAGATGAAGGAGCTCCTCACCCTACTTTTATGGTTGAGCCTGGCCACTCTACAAAAGGATGCCCATTTAGGCTGCTTGTATCCTGGATCTCGTTCTTTTGGTCATAATGCAAACATGACTGTAGGTGAGGGTCAGAACGTAGACAGACCAGTAAATTGAGAGCTTTGCCTCTCGACTCAGCTTCCTCTTCACCTCGACTGACCAAAGCAACACCTTCATTACTGAGGATGAGGCTCCAATCTGTTGATCCAGCACTTGTTCCATTCTACCATCACTTGTGAACAAGACGCCCAGATACTTCCTGTCACGGATGCAATTTTATAAATACTTTCTTTCCAAAAGAATATTTTCATTGTCCGTATTAAGAGAAGACGACGTGTATTAATCTGCAATCTACTGCATTTTAGTATTATGATATTGTTTATATGGCTGTGTAGCGTCATATAAATTCACACATGCCCACACTTCAGTAGTCATCGTGAAGGTCACCAGATACAACACTTGATGGAGGTTAATGGGTGCAGGATTGAGGGTTTGAAGTCAGTGGCTTGAGGCACCCACGCATTGTAAAGGTTTTAGTTGCCCCCGTTCAACAATACTGCCAAACCAGAAGGTTCTTTGAAATTCAAGCAGCTTTTATTATTTCAGTTTCTTCCCAGTTTTCTGCATAACTTGACACTGTAACCAGTTGTGTCTGAATCTTTTGAAGTCAGTAGTAACTGTTTCTTTCTTCCTGTTGGCAAAGAGGAGGTGGGGATCGCTTTCAGCACCACAGAACCCGGGACATCTTGCAGCGCTGCAGAATAATCCAGCCGGAGATGAGATTAAGTTACCATGGCTTGATAGCCATCGTGTCCCCGGGTTGAAAATCTGGTTCTCATTATGCAAAACTTCAAGATGTTTGGGAATCAATGTAGAGGAGAATAATCACCCAAACTGAGTTGTTTTAGGTCTTGTTTTGAAATAAATATAATTTTGTTGGGCTATTAAAAATACAAAGAATACATTATAAATAAGGGGGGGGGGGGGAGATCACTTGTGTTAAAATGAGTTGTATGGTGACACACGTTTGATCTTCCCAAGAGCTCTGGATTATCATCATAGAGTTTAAAGTTCACCAGCAGGCATTTCTTCCTTTAACTCTTCCAGGAGCTGTGATATCTGCTCCACTTCCTGTCTCTGTCTGCAGCCTGCAGATGCAGCTCAGCGATCAAAGCCTGAAAACCAGCTGCATCCTCTCAGAAGGAACAGCGAAGGAGTTTGACGGGACTGTGTTTTCAGTTCAGTAGGTTACGTCACGTTGTCTTTGCAGTAAAAGATTTCAATCTGAATTACTCTGAACCTTAAGAAAAAAGCCACACAAACATACAACTCTGCTCTGTTTCCTCCCTGTTATTTGGATAACACAACCTTCAAACTCATGCAGGCTCATTTTAGTACGTCATAAATTAAACTGCAGACCGGCCTGCAATGATAAAGATACTAATAGCTTGTTTTTCTAAAGGCTTCATATTTGTTGTTTTACTGTAGGGTATAATTGGAGCAGCAGGCCCTCAATGTTGAAGCAGGCTGATAAAAAGCAGCTGCAGGTCCGGTGTCTTACAGCCGGGCTCCTGAGGGCCCTCGTTCAGGGTTTCGGATCTCATTTGCTGGGTCAAGACTTTCAGCAAAAGGATCAGATTAATACAAGCTTTAGAAAACATAAGAAGCACCACGCCGCTTTTTGTTCTCCACGTGATTTTTAAAGTTTTGATTTCCAGATCTCACTCGTCAGGAATCTATCGTTTAATGCCTTTAAAAAAAAAAAAACATTTTTAATGATGTGGTTGTAAAATGTTACGTAGACCAGAATAAATTCAAACTTGTTCCCTGTGGTGGATTGCTCAACCCTTTCTTTAACCAAACTAGTATTTTATATGAAAGTAAATTAAAACCAGGCCCTGCCTGTAGTGGTTGGGGGGAAAAAATGCAAACACAAAAACAATCAAAATGACAATCAGGTCTGTGCATAAATTACATGTTTTGTTGTAAAAGACTTAGAAGCATCTTTATGCTCACTCTGCTCTGGAAAGTGGTGCTGGATCCCTGCAGGAGGCCGAGGTTTAGCATCAGTCTGGTGGAGATTAGAGCAGAAAGGTTAACCTGCAGACTGTTGTATGTGAAAGACAGTGTTGTAAACAACTGACTGTAGTATTTGTGCATTATTGTAGGCTTTCAGCTGACCTGTGCTGCAGGCATGAGAGCTTAAAAGCAAATAATGCAAATACACTAATAGTATTTGAGCTGCTGAGTAGAGCCATAGAAGTAGCAAATCCTTTAAATTCTGTTCCTCCAACCTGCGGCGTTCACTCTGGGATCAGAGCCCTCGAGATAAATGCTTGTTTTACCATGTTTTTAGATAGAGAGTGTTTATAACAATAAAGTGTTGAACGGGGGTGGATGTTCCTCAATGACATATTTTCAACTTGAATCAGTTGCCATTGAGATTTATGACTAGGAATTGCCCTTTTGTTTGTGATTTTTAAAAAGCTTTACAGAAGTAAAGCGGTTTGTTATTTCAAGCAAATTACATATTTTGACTTTAATCACAGCTAAACAAGTTTTATTATCTCTAAGTAATGTTTAAAATAGCATATAGACTGTCAGCTTTTGGCCTGACTAGAAAATATATAACTTTTTTTTCCATTAATTCACTTTTGTTCATGTTTAAACAACTTTTGCATTGACTAAAAAACACTACAAAATACTTTCCACCTTGCAACACTCACAATGGACTTCCTGCACTTTATTGTGAAAATTAAATACTCATTAATGTTCATATTAGATCTAATGCAGCGATATGGTCTAAATGTTTTTAAGTAAAATTTGTTGAACGATACCACCTTGTGGCAACTATGCTGCAGAAGAAATTCACTACTGCACTTGTTAGATTAAAAAAAAAGACCTTCTGGATATTCTTGAGACAGGCTTTTAGATCAGATTCTGTGCATTATTATACATCCATCCCTCCATATGCATAAACATGAATAAAGAATTTTAAAATTTCAGATGAGGAAAAAAATCTATGATTTATGTGTGTTGAGCAAAAGCACTCTGAAAAGTAACATCTCTATAAGCAGTTTGAAAAGGCTCAACAGGAACTCAGTCATAGAGTTGATGAAGATGAAGAGTAACTGAAGAGTAATAGAAATAATGGAGAAGAAAGGGGAGGCACATAAATAGCTTGAAAATGCCCGACAAAGGAGGGTAGGCCTAATATTCCTCCTTGATTCCATATTCTTTAGATTTATACATCACATTTAGTTGTGCTAACAGTTTTGAAAGCAAGAAGCCATATTTATATACACATATATATTATATACATATATCTATATATATATATATATTTTTTTTTTACTTGTCAACTTTGAAGTTTGTAGTTGTATGCTTTCTTGTCGTTCATCCATTTTTCTGCCTCAATGATAAAGCCATATAGAGGAAGTCACAAGGGGTTTTGATTCTGATGTGCAACTGCTTTAAATATTTACTTTTATGTGCAAGTACAGGATTTTTTTTTTAATTTTATTTATTTATTTTTTTAAGGAAAATGGCTGCTTAATTTGAAGCCACAAATCAGAGACGTTCGGATATATAACCCCTTCAGCTGAGAGTTGACAAATCAAGAGCTGATTCAGGCTCCGCTCTGAGTATCAGTGACCTCTTCATCATTGCCTCTCAGCCTCATTCATACAATATGTCCAAAATGTCTTCCGATAAGTCCATATAACCTCTGATTTGGCTGTTGTACTCAGTGAGATTTGCAAAGCTGAACATCATCACACAAACTTAATATACTGTCCTCTAAACCAAATAT